TATAACAAATATTTGAACTCACAAGATGTTTGTTATTTTAGATACTGCTAACGCATACAATTTTGGAGAGGTAATGACGAATATTGATCGCATAAATTCTTTAATACATGCTATATGCTAATTGTTCATTTTGTTATATAATAAAAAGAGTGAACAATTTCTTGGAGAATATATAGCCGATAAACGTTCTCAAGTTGTAATCGCCACAAAATATACTGGTATGTTAATCTGATTATTTGTTTCACCGTAAAATTGTTATATATTTACCTTCCTGCAAATTTATATAGAAAATTCTACCGCTTTAATGCCAAATGTCAGATATAACCCAAATGCTGGTAATTTTTATTATTCATTTTATGGAATTATATTTTATGGAATTGTATGTGTTAATATAAGTTTTGAAAAATATTCCACTTATAGGTGGAAATCATCGCAAATCTCTTGTTGAAAACCTCGATCAAAGCCTTAAACGACTAGGAACTGGATATATTGATCTCATGTATGTTCATATGTGGGAATTTCGTACTCCTATTGAAGAAGTAATGCGTTCTTTAGATGATGTTGTTAGAAGTGGCAAGGTAGGCTATTTGATATATAATAATTAGTATGTTGGTTTGCATAATTATTAATTGACTTCTAACATTTAATACAAATTTCTAAAGGTGCTTTATATCGCGATTAGCAATGCACCAGCATGGGTGGTTAGCCGTGCGAATACGATGGCTGAATTGCGTGGTTGGAGGTAATACCATGCATGTAATGATATACTATATTTTGTTTGCTTATTGTCGATGAAGAGTAACAAAAAAATTTTCTTAACTTATACAAGTCAATTTGTTGGGTTGCAAACGCGATATAATTTATTAAATCGATCTTTGGAACAAGATATACAAACTGCTTGTGCTGAACATGATGTAAATACATTTTAATATTTGTTATTTTACTCGAATTTGATTTCAAGTCTGGTGATGATATCATAACTAACTTATTAATTTTTATCATAAAGGTTGGAATTATTCCTTGGGGATGTATCGCTGAAGGGTAATCATAATTTTTTTTTTTTCTTTGATGTTTGATCTATACTGACTAGCTTCTGTTTTCATTATTATTACTGTATTTTTATCTAGGTTCTTGACCGGAAAATATACTAGAGAATTAGCTGCTAACCTAGAAATGCCTGATACTATGAGAAGTCAACGTGTTAAATCAATTAAAAGATTAGCTGAAAATGAACAAAATTGGAAAATCTTTGATGAAGTTACATCTATCGCTGCCGAAACCAAGAAAACTCCTGTTCAGGTAACTTCATAACTTAAATTGTCTATAATTATTTATATTTTTTTCATTAATTTATTTTTAAAATTAAAAGGTCGCTT